TGTATGTGCGTGTGCGCGCGCGCGTGTGTGTGTATGTGTATGTGTATGTGTGGGTGTATGTGTGTGTATATGTGTGTGTGTGTGTATGTGTGTATGTGTGTGTATGTGTGTGTGTGTTTGTGTGTGTGTGAGTACGCCAGGAGAAAGGTTCCAAGAGTGGTTGGCAAAGCTATTTTTTTAGCAACGGGTTGAAAAGGCCAAAAAAAGTGCTACCTGGTCCAAAATGTAGTTTAGTTCCATCAGTAAACACATGTTTAACCATTTCTTTTATAGAACATTAAGAAAGGAATTTATAAGGAAGAATCTCCTGCCATTCCTTATAAAGAACATCCTTCAGTTCCTTACCAGTTTGAACAGAGTGCGCCTGTTTCTAACCCCCCAGTCAAGGTCATCTTACAGATGTTCTGTTGGGTTATGCCCTGTGGATCCTTCAGGCCAGTCCAGATAAACGATTTGATTTGTTTGGAAGAAGTTTTTATTGATCGTAGCCATTTGTGGTCGGGCGTTGTCTTGTTACCGGATTCCATCATCCGTGCCATGTAGCGTAGTCACCGTGGCGAAGAATTTCGTCACAATAATGTCGTTATTTGAGGTTGCTTTGAAAAGTAACTAAATGTATGCGATAAAAAACAGAGATTCCACCCCCTACCATCACATTTCAGCCACCCTCGGGCCTCTTGGGGGACGTTAGATTTGTGAAATTTCTATTCTCTTCTTTTTAATACTTTTTCTCTTCCATCAATGCGACGAATTAAAAACCTTAACCATTGCTAAAAAGAAAACTTTACCAACTTCTTTAGTTTCATGGACAATGTTGTTGTGCCAAAATTTGGCGATTTCTTCTTTGAAACAGGGTCAGAATGGCTCCATATAAAGGGCGATAATCACGGAATCCACGATCTTATAAATGTCTAATAATGATGTTTCAAGACAGTCTGAAGTGCCTGGCAGTCTCTGCACAAAGTTGGAATGGGTTTTCAACATGGGTGTTGACAATAACCCAATTCTGATGTCGAGTTGTCGCCCTTGGTTGCCTGCGTCTCGGATTTTCTTCGACAGTCCTAGTGGTGTTAAAACGTTAATTACAGCATTAGATGGTTCCTCTGCAAACATTTACCTGTCTTGCAACAGCAGAAAGCGCAATTTAAAAAATTATCTTACACACAGTCCCTTTATTTTCTGAATTTATCCTTTTTTAAATTTTGAAAACAGGAGAAAAGGGTACCCAACCGTTAAAAAGTATGGAATGTTATAGTGTGTAAGGTTTGTTTACACATTGTCTACGTGATTCAAAGCAAATTGTGTGTGTAGGAAGCGTTGATTTCAACACAGACCGAGAGAAATCAATACCAACACTTTGTCCACGTACTACTTCCGGTTTAGGATTTCTTTTGGTCAGCTCTGGCACAAGAAGTCTCATGAGTCCCACAACTTTTACTGCAATTCTTACGCTATACCGAAACTTATCGTAACATAAAGGGTGTGACAGAACTTTTGCAACTCGGTATACTTTAAGTGTAAATATTTTTTATAAATTATTTTCGCACCATGTTGTATTTGACCAAAGGTTCAACAATTAAATGTGCTAGAAATCTGGGTTTTCTCCTAACTTTGTTATTGCCCAATGTGTTACAAAATGTGGCATATCTTTAAAACTATCTACGTGCCATACATGAACAAAAAATTGAAAATGGGGGTATTCAGCACTGCATTCGCTACAAGAATATATGCCCTCATTTCAAGATCCAAAGTTCCCGACAACTGGGACCTTTCTCCAAACACACACTCACTCACTCTCTCTCTCTCTCTCTCTCTCTCTCACACACACACACACACACACACACACACACACACACACACACACACAATTATAAAGATATTTCGAATCTACAAGGGGAAAACGACGGTAATCACAAACTGAAAATCGTGAGGGTACCAATTTTGAACGCTTCTGGACTCATAACTGCATTTCGGGTCAAATGTTGGTGGATCATTGTGGCCATGTTAGATTCTTCACCCAACAACACTTAATGAACAATAAACCACCGGTCAAATAAATAAATAAATAATATATATATATATATATATATAGATAGATAGATAGATAGATAGATAGATAGAGAGATAGATAGATAGATAGATAGATAGATAGATAGATAGATAGATAGATAGATAGATATGTGGGACGTGTTGACAAAATGAGTTACTTCTCGCACTTCACAAATGAAGATATCGGAAGAAAATCAACAAAGGAGTACATTTGTAGACTCTCAACTGATGTCATTTT